CAAACGGACATCAAAAAACAAAAAAAAAACACTCAAAAAGAATGCCTTTTTGAATCTTAATTCTAAGAGGAGCAACAGTGAGAGGTTTGCAAGAACACTTTTCATTATTTTGAAATTGCTTGAAGGATTATAGGATTAAAAAAAAAAATCCACTAAAATTACAGCTGGAATTTGATGGCCTGCCCTAATTCTCCTGGACATCGGTAGCCTATTTTAGGATTTTCATCATAACTATTGCTATTAATGTTACTTTAGTGATTACCTGAGTGTTGTGATGCCCCAGCCTCTAAACTGATCGAGAGAATCTAATCCCACAATGGATATTACGGGACTGATGAATGGATGGTGTATCATGAAGATCATCATGAAGAAACATCCCCACTTTGTGATATTGAAATTCCCGTATGACTCACGTGTGCTTAAGAGGTAATGAGAAACAGACTCTGGATGGGAAGTACAGTACTGGTATAAGTTTATGTATATATGTGCACTCACAACCACTTTATTAGGGACACCTGTACACTTATCCAATCAGCGATTTACGTGGCAGCAGCGCAACGCATAAAATCATGCAGATACAGGTTGAGAGCTTCAGTTAACATTCACATCAAATAGCAGAATGCGGAAAAACATGATCGTGGCAGTTCGAATATATCAAAAACCGTTGACCTTTTGGATTTTCATGCATAACAGTCACAAGAGTTGACATTCGAATGCTAAAGTTCTGACAGGAGGACTACAGTGGCTCAAATAGCCACTCTTTACATCCATGGTAAGCAGAAAAGCATCTCACGTAGAAAACCACAATTCTGTCAACAAAGAGCAAGAGTCTTAGGCTACAGAGGATGCAGGCGCACCAAAAACTGGACAGTTGAAGATTGGAAAAACATCACCTGGTCTTTTCTGTCCAGTTTTAGACGAACCTGATGTCACATGATCAGATAATTGCGTTAATGAGCACAGGTACAGGTGTTGCTAATAAGGTGGACAGTGAGTATGTACATATGTATATATGTGATTCAGTGGCACACCATCCAACTCAGGGAAAAGATTATAGTTTCACGATAACATGACAATTTATTTATTTTTTTTTTTGCGTTATTGACATAACGTAACTATAACATACCAGCGGTATGGAACTAACTTCCGTTATGGACGTTTCACAACAAACGTTAATTGTGGCCGTGGTACAAGAGCACTAAAACAAGTGGTATTTTCCTACAACAACGCATCCTGTCGTGTCTTATTCCATACGGGTGTATGCTTATAAAGCCGATCATCTATCTATCATCCGTCCACCACATCTCTTACATTCTAGACAGCCTCTCAAGTGCCACTTAATTCTGCCGTGAGACCCCAACTTTATTTTAATTCACCAAGATTTGCAGCGTCCGTAGGGCAGTTTCGTGTTCTGCAGGTTTCCTTGTTGTTCTTTCAGGCCAGGAGGCCACCCGTGTTGCCGTTTCCACTCTCGTCTGGCTCGCATGTGCGAACGCTCCGCATTGCACTTTGATTCATACACCTCTCTAAAACACTTCCTCTCGGCGCCGGTGTGTGCAAGACAGCCATATTTCACCTCCGTCCATTCTTCACGCTCTGTTTGACTTTTAACTGGGTGCTAAAAAGCTTAGATAAGCAGAGCACTCACGACAATCTTCCGCCGCATAAATTCCCGACACATGGTTTTTATGAACTGCCTCTTTCATAATATGTACATACGAACCATATTTTATGGAAAATACAGTAGTGATTAATTGGTTGCACTATTGCAGGCTTTAACATTGCCGTTAAGTTTAGGCTTTCAAGACACTGAATATTTTGTGTATAAAAATCTACTACTGTGTAATTTTATAGCTTAATGTATTGGTAGTATAATGGCAATAAAAATGATAATTTCACATCATTTCCAATTAAAATGCTGCATCAGAGAGCCTCATCCTGTATACGCTAACTAATACATAACACGTAACTTGTACTAGCATCACACACACACACACACACATTTTCTTACAGTCTTACATATTGATCCTTTTTGTGAAAATTGTTTTTGTGAAAAAACAAATCTATCTGTAGTGAACTTCTGATTCTTCAAATGAAGCGTATCCTTTCGCCTCCCTAGAATCCATGAACTATATCTAATTCAAAAACGAATGTTGAGGTATGTTTCGCTAATTTGCTAAGACTGCGCCAAGTCTTTTCTTTGCTAATTAGACTAGCATTGTTTCCTTTGCCACGCCAGACTAGCATTGGTTCCAGTAGCTAGCACTAATTAGCTAGGCAGCAAGTCAAATTCTAGCTAAGAATGAATAGTGGTTATTTATATAACGTTTTACTTCTGACTAATTGATTAGCAAACTACGCAGTGTTAGCAAACGTACCGAGATTGCGAAACGGTGTTGTCTCTTGAAAATGAAAATCATCTTGAAAATGAAAATCAAATTACTTTTCATAGGAAAACATGACATGAAGTTAAGTTCATCAGTTAAAACATTTACTTATACTTTTTAATACCTGTGTATGTTTCTCTGTCCCTGGTGGCCTAGCTGCTAAGGATCCCATGCTCTCGCCACTGTGGTCCGGGTTCGATTCCCGGGCAGGGAACCCACCCAGCCAGTGGGAGTGTACTCTCAGTGCTGGTCCCAAGCCCGGATAAAATGAGAGAGATGCATCAGGAAGGGCATCTGGTGTAAAAACCTGTGCCAAATCAAACATGTGGACTGATGATCCGCTGTGGTGACCCCTAACGGGAACAGCTGAAAGAACAACACCTTGAGTACATTTTTCACTTTTAATTGAGTAAGACTTCGACATTTAATCTACTTTCACTTTCACTGATTTTAAGATTTTACTGTTTTGGCTTTTTTTTTTTTACTGCATGGACTCAACCCCATATATATTTCAGACCTCCTCTGCCTTCACTCTTCCCAGCGAACTTTAAGATCCTCTTCTCAACTTTTGCTAACCATTTGCTCAGTCACGATTAAAAACCAGAGGCGATAGGGCCTTCTCTGGAATAGTTTGCCCTTCTCTGTCAGATCCTCCCCTACAATAAACTCATTTAAATCGTCCTTTAAAACTTATCTTTTCTCTCAGGCTTATCTATAATTTGCCCTGTTTTTTTTTTTTGTTGGTTTTTTTTTGCCACTGCTTAGCTGCATATTTTCTGGTGTTAGTCATATCTGGTTTGTTTTCTTATAATAATTATTTGCTTATATATTTATTTTCATTCTTAACTATATTTTATATTACCATTTTAATGTATTTTTTTCCTGTTATGCCTGATGTGCCGCACTCTGTTCCTCTCTCGTGTTGTTTTAAATGTGCTATATAAATAAATTTGACTTTTTTGACTTTTTTGTGGATCTTGGTCCCTCCAATATATAACACACACACACACACAAACACACTGCTTCATACAGTAACCTGTGTGAACATCAAACCCCTAAGCACTTCAATCTCAGAAGCAAAAAAATTAAGAGCATAACATCACTTACAAACTTAAGCTGCTTTCTTTAGGATTCCATAATTAGCTTTCTGGCTGTGGGTAAGTGGCGAGTGTGGACACGAGGACAGCCATTATGTTCTGTTGTGAATTGATAAGATGACACCGCTGTCATGGGTTGCCATGCCATTAGCAGATAGGTGGTCTTGAGTGGTACAGAGTGAGGCTCTGAAATTCTACCATTTGTCCTAGAAATATCCATCCAGCTGTACTGCTTATCCTACAGAGGGTCACGGGGAGTCTGGAGCCTATCCCAGGGGACGCGGGGCTTAAGTTTGCCTGAAGAATTAATTAAAGCCTTCTAAAAAAAAAATGTTTCACATCAACTTACATCCCACATGTACCCATAGACTTCTTTTGAACTTTTTCTAATAAGGTTTTGAGTAAATATTGTCTGTGCTTTTCTAATTACAAGGAAAGTCTTGTCCCTGGTAATCACATGTACAGTAGAGATACAGTAAATAAAAACCGAAAATACAGATTAGGTTGAAAAACACTGAATTATCCCTTTAACACTTGAACCGTGATGCGAAGCTGAGGAAGGCAGAGGAGTAGATCAGATCCTGTATACTGCCAGCTACACCACATACAGTAGCTGTGTGTATCTGAGATCACACTGTACACCAGCTGCTTTCATAAAGCACACATGTTGATTTATTATTATTATTATTATTATTTTCCCATGTGGAGGAGAAGGCCTAGGCTTAGATTATGGTCTATTTATATTTGAAGGGATCAAATATTTCTCATTATGTGAATATCCCTTTCATGCATAAATTATTTTGATGCGGATTCTTTAAATCTTAAAATGGATTTTGATTCTGTTGAAATATCACATAATAAAAAGTGAATGGATTGGGAAAAAAAATAATAAAAATATAAATCTTATAAGGTCCCAAATTTGTAACATTCAGGTCTAAAATATGTAGTGAAGACAAATAATTTTAGAAAATATAATTTCCGATAGGATAAAATTTACACAGTTTGGGACTGTTGCATAATGCAAAGAGGTAAAAAAAAAAAAATCCATCCTCCTTTAAAACAAACAAAAAATAGTGTCTTAAAAATCTAGGGAGTTCAGTGGAGTCTGACACAAAAATAAAATTCTTTACATAATTGTTTTTTTTTTTTGTCTTACATAGAAAGATTTCCATCAGTGCGGACACGAAGCATGAAAGAGATTTATTATTGAAATGAAACTTTATGATGCCGATTTCTAGACAGCTTTTCTTCAAGCTTATTCTAAGAAGCTTTGTCTTCTTTTAAGAAATAGACAAAAGCAAAAAGATCATCTGCAAAGAGAATAATTTCAAACACAAGTACATGCACACACACACACACACACACACACACACACACTTTTACTCTTGTTTCAGTGTCAAACAGACAATCAATAATACGGCGCTGCTGTAATCACATGACAACCCGACATGAGAAATAGTACACCTGTACCTTGTATTTACCCTCTGCATATCATATCTCTGAGCCCACACAGACACACACACACACACACACACACACACACACACACGGTATTATTTAGCTATATGATCTAACCGATTATTTCCTCAAGAGGCGCTAGACTACATACAGTGAAGGGAAATAAGTATTCAGAAGATTTTTTTTGGTATTTAACGTACTTCCTGTGCATATATCCGCTACAAATGTACACACCTAATGTCTTTCCACTTTGTACTTATAAATATGAATAATGAATATTGAGTGAAATTCATTATGAAACAATGAGAAAATATGAATAATGGGTGTCATTATAAAAGTGTTGCCATTGCTTTGGGAAGAGTTCACGCAGTCATATTACATTATTATTATTATTTATTATTTATTTTTAAGTAGCCTATGTTAAATAACAAAAATAAAAATATCAGACTACGTATTTATGTTTCGATTCTGTTTTTTTTTTTCCTGCATTTTGGTTTCTTGTCCACACGCAAACGGAAAATTTGTGTCGATGAAAATGCAGCTTTTCGGAAAAAAAAAAAAAAAAAGTTGAGAAATTTTAAAACTTGATTTTCACTGTTTTTTTGTGCAGACAGGAACATTTTTATTTTATTTATTTATTTATTTAATTTTCTTCCTCATTAGGTCTTGGCCAGTTGCCACCCACAGCACCAGCTCGACCGCATGTTTTTGAACTGCTGCTCATGCTGCATCACAGGGCGGCGTAACACATTTGGAAAAAAAGTGCTATCTGCCCTCTTCCGCATACATGATTGACTAGAGTCGCTGAGATTGACAGAGAAGAGAGAGTATGCCCCTCCCACTCAGAAAGCACGGCCAATTTTGTCGTCTTGGGCTCTGCTTGGCTGCACGATTGTCAAGATTCGAACTCACAATCTCCGGACAATACAGCAAATGCGGACGATACTCTGACTACGAAGGCGAATAAACGAACGAACCAACCATGCTGGTGTTTTTCCCCATTTCATCTTCTCCACCACTCAATACACAGCACTTGATTTTCTTCTCGACATGATCTACATAACAGTCTATGACATACTATCACTACCGACAACCACTGAGTCAATAATACAAAACCGTAACGTCGAAATTAACGCTCATCCATAAACAATCTGTTTTTTTATGAGACACACACAAGCAGGATAATGCTTCATCCAAGGGAAGATCGTCATAAAACGTAGAACACTAACAGATAATCTGATCATGTGCACTGAATGTATATCTCAGTTCCCTGAACTCATCATCATCCTTGTTCAAAACGTGAACATTTCTTTCCTGGCAAGAAAGCCAATTAAGTCGAATGGGAGTGTGGAAAAAATGGTGACCTTTAAACCTGCAAATATACAAACCCTGGAAGTGTGAGCTAATAAAAAAAAAGACAAGCTGTAGTCCACTGTTTCTAAAAAAAAAAAGATGATAATTGCAGTATTAAGTCTCTCCCACAGTGCCTTATTTTTTTAATGGAGGTAGGTGATTTGTTTTTTAAAATGGTGGAAATTTCCTTCGTATCTAATGATAGCTATTCACTGAACCATGACACTTCCTCCAAAATCTCCTTGCAGAAAAGTCACGTGAACTATAAATAATCAAATGATTCACGTGTCACATTTACATATGTTGTTTTTAGACACTTCACATGTTTATATTTCACACATTTTACACACGTAGTGCAAGTGTTTTTATTTTCACAGGTGATTTTTACACGATTCTTTTTTTTTTTTTCAAGTGTTATTATTAGCCTCCACGTGATTCATTTATTTCTGCATGGTAAATTTCATATGATAAATTCTGCACATGTGAATTTTACACATGATTCATTTATTCTCACATCATCATTTTTTACTGTAACTTTTTTCCCCCACTTTTTAATTCATTCATTCTTACATCAGTTTGTTTTTTTTAAATATTTCTTTTTACAAATATATTTTATGTTTTTATTTATTTATTTATTTTTCTTGATTCATTTATTTCAATGGATTACTTTTTTACATGATTCATTTATTATACACGATTCATTTTTAAATGTTATTTTTACACGATTCATATTTCACGTGAATTTTTTGACACAATTCATTTATTTTCATGTTTGCTTTTTTTTATACATGATTAATTTCTTTTCAAGTGTAATTTTCACAAATAAGTGAGTTTTTCCACATGATTTTTCTTTTTACGCATGATTAATTTCTTTTCATGTGATTTTTATATTTTGTGGCATGAAGAAACACTTTTTCACAAATACTTTTCACATTTCATTCCTAAAATCACATGTGAAAGGCTTATTTGTCATATCAGATGTGAAATGTATGTGCTTCATTTACCTGTGCTAAGATCTTTTTGTTCGTTTTTGGTATTTCTTTTAGACATCATTTCTCCCAAACAATGATGCAGATAATGTAATATCCTCGAGGCAGTTCGGATCCATAAAAAAAAAGTCCCACTCTACGAAAATAACTGAGCAGCTGCGTGAATTAGAGCTCATTTGCACAAGAGATGTAATCTCAGAGCCATTTCCCGGCTCAATAAAGGGCAATTAAATAAATAAACAATGCCTTTAATAAACCACAGTGATCGCTCAGTGACAACGCATGACCGAATGAAATATGAGAGGAATGAGAAAATG